GAAGGAAAATGTACAACAATCTGGGCATCTGTATGTCTGTGCGCACGGCCACTGTCTTACTCACTCAGCCAATATTTATGGAGTGCCTCCTGTGTGCTCCCCATGATTACACTTTGAGGGTACATTGGGCCTGGGCTCTCCTGAAGCTTACATTATAGTGGGCAGGGGAGACAGAAGATAACTAAAAGCAAAAAATAATGTAAGTTCAGATGGTATAAGGCTGGGGGCGGCGAGGAAAGTCCGGATATGGCAATGACTTGAGAGTGAAGTGCTACTTTTAGCCTGGGTGTTCAGAGGCAACTTCTATCAGGAGGTGATATCTGAGCCCAGCTCAGCCAGCCGTGAGACCAGGCAAAAGAAACAGCAAGTGCAAAGGCTCTGAGGCAGGAACAGGTTTTGCTGGTGGGAGCCAGAGAAAGAGGGCCATTGTCCTTAGGAGGGAGAATTTGGCGCTGCAGAGATAAAAATGGAAGGTATGGCCCATCACATAGGGCCTTGGAGGCTCCTGAAGGACTTTGAAGTTTAGTCTAAGTGCAATGGGAAACCAGCGGAGAGTTTTAATAGGAAAGTTATATTCACTGATCTATGTGTTAAAAGATCACTTTGGCTGCTGTGAGGGGGATGGAAACAAGGATATCATCTGGGTTGCCAGAGCAGTCATCTAGGCAAGACATGATTGTGGCTTGTGCTGAGGTGGTGGAGAGGGAAAGTGAACACCTAGGTTTTTAGCTTAAGTAAACCTGAGGTTGGTGGTGCCTTTTATTGAGATGGGAAGGAGGAAGGGACAGAAAAGGTTTGGGGAGAGAAAATAAGCATTTTACTTTATTCAGATTAGTTGAGATCCCCTTAGACATCCAAGTGGAGGTCAAGGTAGGGCAGGAATATACAAGTTTAGAGGTCAGAGCTGGAGGGTAAATACAGGGGGGTCATTGGAAAGGGTGGTTTTTAATGCTATGAGACCTGAGTACCTAGGGAAGGAACGTGGAGAGAAAAGAGGCTTAGCATCGTAATGCTTGAGGTCAAGTTGAGGAGGGAAGATTGTCAAAGGTGGTCAAAGAGATAGCAGAAAAGCCAGGGGAGTGGAGTGTCCGGGAAACCTAGAAAAGCGAGTGTATGAAGAAAGAGGGAGCAGTCAGCTCTAGCTGGTCAAGTAAGACGAAGAGAGAAGCAACCATCCAGTTCAGCATCTTGGAAGTCCCCCGTGACCTGGGGGGAGACTGTCAGTGCCACTGAGTGGGCTGAGGTGCGAAAGGGAAGTGAAGGCGAGCAGACAACAAATACTGACAACTCCCTCAGGTTTTGCTGTGAACGAGGAGCATCACATTGTGCGGCAGGCAGGAGCACAAGAGAGGGGGGTTGCTAAAAGGGTTTGAGGGTGATGGGAATTACCAAGACCTGGGGGTGGGGGACGAGGTAGGTAGACTCCAATGCCAGGTAGAGAAATGAGCCTCAGCTAGCAGGGAGATGGGGAAGACAGAGGGCTTGGTTCAGCTGGGGTGGGGGAAGGATGAGACAAGTTATCTCTGGCTGCTCTCTTTTTCTCAGAGAAGAATGAACCTAGCTCATCTCTGGAGGGGAGAGAGCTACAGGTCGGGTCCTTTGAGGAGAAAGAAGGTGTGAAGTGTTCATTTCAGAGAGCAGGAAGGCAAACCTCTAAGCTGTGAGAGTAGGAGTTCTCTGCAGGTTGAGAGTCCATTTGAGATGTGGGACCAAACATTCAAGTTTCAGAGGCCAATTCACCATGAAGCTAAAGAAGTTTATGCTTCAGGACCCCGCACTTACACAGGCTTCAGGGAGGGCAGTAGCAACGTCTTCACATGGCCATATGCTTCTGTAAAATTTGCAAATGGAAGATATATATATATTTTTTTTAATTTTAATTTTTTAAAATATATCTTTATTGATTTCAGAGAGAGGAAGGGAGAGGAAGAGAGAGAGATAGAAGCATCAAGGATGAGTAGGAGTCATTGATCAGCTGCCTCCTGCACGCTCCTGACTGGGGACCAAGCCCGCAACCCG